CTGCCATTGTCACCGCCATGGAATACCGTAGAGGCCGTGTTCCTTGGCGACGAAATCAACACGAGCCATCGCGCGGCCGCGCTCGGCGCCTACCAGCTCTGCACCCACCTGATCTTGCTCCTTCACGCGCTTGGTGTAGACATCGTGCATAGCATCGAGCGTCGTCTGTGCGATCTCGAGCAGCGACGGAGGCGCTGTACGTACGAGGCGACGATATATTGCGAGCCAGGAGTTCACCTCCTCGACTGAGTCATCCAGGTCGTTGAAAATCTCGGTTGCGAGCATTGTGACCGGCCGAATGTGGGATGTGGCGGAGGCGTTGTTCGAGGGCATCTGGTTTTGATTGCGAGGCGGTTGGTTGCACGTAAGGCGTAGACGTTGTGGACGCAAAGTGGCAATTGTTCGAGGGAGTTGTTGCTTGTTGTGCGAGCACTGAAGGCGTAAGTGGTCGGATAAACGAGCGAATGGAAGTCCTATAATCGATGTTGTAGTGGCCGGTGGCCTAAATGGTCTGAGCAATACAACGGGCTTTTCAGAGTTTGTTAACAAATTGTGCGGGCAATATAATAAACGCGAAAGGATGTGGTTTGGGACGAAGGAAGACAAGACGAGCACCGCAATTTATATCCGCGGGCGCCACTTTTTCCCTGACAGGAGCTCGGACCAGTTTGCTTTTTCTCCCGGCGAGCGTTGAGGAATTTTGTACGACACTACTGCGGAGAGTGGCTCACGCAGATTTTTTTCTGAGGTCGAGCACCGCCGACGACGAGCGCTAAATATCGAATCACGAGCTGGGAAGGGCCCATCTACATCTCGGCCCTCACTGAGGCTCGGTGCCCGGGCTGCATCTGTAAATGATTGTACACGAAAACGTTCCATTCTCCACTTTTTGATGAGGCTGATAGCCCAGCGTTCTCAAAAACGCCACATATCGAGTGAATGGAGCTGCACAAAGATCGCGTCGCGGCAGCCGCGGGAAAGCTCGCTCCAGCGTTTATTAGCTCTCCTTCCCCAATTAGGCAATCGAGTCAGTACCAACTTCAACCCCGACGCTTACCATTGTAGGCCACCGGTCTCACTAGTATATCTTATATCCTGCGGCCACGAATCAATTTTTGGTAGGCCATCCGCGCAACATATAACTACAGACCACTGCAGTGAGTTTTCCAATCAGCTTTCCTGACCCAGCACCCATTTCACACTCGCACAATATCTTCCACAGATAACCTCCCGTCTACAGCTCCCAATCCCCCAAAGACCCCTCCTCGGCCAACTCAGGCCGGTTCCGCTCCTCATTATCGCGCTTCCGCACTTTGTACGCCCAACATGGTCGACCGTAGAACCACCTCTGCCGACGACGATGCGAGCGCAAGCACTGCACTGGCAGTGGCTCCATGACGGGTTCCACGCCACTGAAGACCAACACCTCAAGCAGGAAGAACTCATCACACAAGCATGAAAATGTCGACCCATTCATCAAAACTGATCTCCACAACCACACCACTCTTGTGCTGTGCCTCCACTGGATCACTGCTATCTGCGGCATCTCCGAGGATGATTTCCTTGCCCTGGTCACTGCCATCACCAAGGCCAAGTGGTTCGACAAGCCACACATACAGGATGCGGTAGCGCAATTTTGCTTGTGCATCCACAAAAACGACCGATATGGACCATTCTGTGGCCTTGCAAACGGGGTCCTTCAGCTTGCGAAAGAAGAACCACGACTTGTGCAGCTGGGATTTAGCAACCATCCGATCTTTGGCGGCACCTGGATATGCAACAATCCAATTGTTATTGCACGCCACAAGCAGCATGGTACCAAGGGCATTCAGCAGAAACCCAACATCATCTATGTGCGATCGAGAGACCTCAAGGCGGAAGGGAGAGATAAAAAAGGGCTGGCTATCAGGATGTGGACAGAGCTAATGGCGTTCTGTGAGGTCAAGGAAGAGAAGGCAACAGAGAGACGCAAGATTGTGTGTGCAAGAATGCAGCCGCCTCAGGCTGTCGACAGGCCGCAGGTTTGGTCAATCACTGTCGTCCGTGTCGCTTTTGCTGACATTTTATTTATCAGGGTTCTCCGCTGACGGTTCCAGACAAAACTGTATCTGGAACCTCCTTTTTGCTAGCAGCCGCTCTCTCTGCCATTTCGGGCTTGACAGATGCGACAACCGCTCAGCCTTTCCAGACTTGGTCTGCAACTGCATCCGCTGGATCGTCATCTCATAAGCGTAAGCAGAAAGGTACTGACTTCAAAGACCTCAGTCTATCTTCCAGCTCCAGCTCCAAGAGGCAGAGATGAGCAGCACCCGCTGACGGCATACTGCAAGCTGCCAGCTATGTTATCAAAATCCTGTCGAATACAAACAGCTCGTGTGCCCATTGTCTCGGTATAGTCCTGTGGCACGAACAGCTCTCCCTATGGCTCTATGATGCGGCAGGGGTGGTGGCTACGTCTGATCAGCTGTCGGTGATCCAGGACTTTGAGAAATTTGCAGCTATCTTGATTTGTCTGGCGTGCTGCAGCGCGGAAAGGCTGGGAGCAATGCCCAAGATATGTCTGCCAAATGACACACCCTATCCCGACCACTTCCCTCCTAAATCTATGGATGGCCACACCATCAATATGTTCCCAGCCAACTGTGACAGCGAGAATGCTGAGATCACGTCTGCGCCTCCATCTGCCTCCACCTCCGCCTCTATATCTACCTCTTCTGCAACATTGTCAATGGAGAAGCCACCCATCCGCGTCATACTTGGCAGTCCTATCTTTGCCAAGTATGCTCTTGTCGGTCGACACACAACAGTGTACAATGCAACGGCAGAAAATTTGCTGACGTGCGCACCCGGCACTCCTCTCGTGGTCAAATTTTCTCAGCAAGTGCACACCTGCCTCAAGGAGCAGGATCTGCTGAATGCCGCTCGTGCAGCCAGGGTCAGAAATTTACCCAGCCTCCGTCTTGCAAGAGACCTGTGGTCACTGAGCGAAGGCTTCTGCGGACTTTTCTGCGAGGAAGAGCCAGTAAACTACGAGAGGCGTGTTCTGCGCGCACCCGTCTTTACAAAGTATGAGCCTCTTGAGGTGCTCTTTTCGCGATCGTCGAGATATCTTGGCGAGATGGTCTATCAGATGCTGAATTGTGAGTGTCTTCTGCATATCATCATCATCTTCAACGCTGACATTGAACTTCCTGCTAAGCCTCCATGATCTGCGATACAGAGTGCTGATACTGCATCGAGGTGTCAGCTTCAACAATATCATGGTGCTCACAGACGAGCCGGACGGCAAGCCGTTGTTCATCCTCAATGACTTCGACCTCGCCACTTGCGCGACGGTAGACGGAAAGCTCAAGGGGGGCCCAATATCAAAGCATCACACTGGAACACTCCCATTTATGTCGTACGAGCTTCTGCACGACATGTGGTCTACTTATGAGGTCGTGCGCAAACTGTCCGGAGACAGTCCCTTGGTACCCGCGCGTCATCACCTGCGGTTTGACTATGAGTTGCTGTTGTACATTGCCCTGTGGTGCACATTCAAGTGCGAGAAACTGCGGTTCACCGAAGCCAGGAACGTGATCAATGCCCAGGTAGAGCAGTGGGAGTGTGGGGCATACAGTGACCGTGACCTGTTCTCACGTAAACTTATGTTGCTGACAAAGATCATGGGCCCTAACTCCTTAAGGGAGATGCCGTTGTCCCCTCCCTTTGAACCATGGCTCCCGTTCTTTGAGGCATGGATGGACACCGTCCAGCCAGCTGACCACCTGCTGCAGAGGGCAAACTACTGAGACGACCTGGAACCAAAGGTATCAAGGGTGTTATTGGACAAAAAAAATTCTCACATTCACACCGGCTGCAAATTTTTGTTTTTGATGTGCGTCTAAGGTTATGCATGCGTATTCATGCATGATGATGCGTGTTTGGTCACTAACATGCGCTAACGTGCACAAAAGTGTGCATTTGACGAACTACACATTCATGTTATCACAATTCATTTTCACTAGATGTTTACTTTTGTGCACCTTCGCGCACCTTCGCACACTTTCGTGCACCTTCGTGCACTCGAAGATTTAAATGAGATGTATAATCACGAAAATGAAAACCAATTGTCAGTTTACACGAAACTGAATAATAAGTTGAGTGCACAAATGTGCACGAACGCGCACGAACGCGCACACATTAGCGCCATTGCCAATCTCAAATCAGGGTGTAACCAAAATCAAAGCTCAGCGGCATGCACGATCATGTGCGTTTGTGCGCTTTCGTGCGCAATCGTGTACGTTCGTCTATTTTTGTGCACGATCATGTACGTTCGCCCACTTTCGTGAGCATTTGTGCGCGTTTGTGCGCGTTTGTGCACGTTTGTTCACGTTTGCGCACCCTTGTCTGCCAAACTGTGAGTACAGTCTGCACCAATTCCAAACTCATTTTTTTTGTCCAATAGCAACCTTCATACAAAGGACTCTTCTACCGTGACAAGTGAGACTGTAGATTGGTATTGGAGCCAGGATAGAATACTCGCTGCACTGAAAGAGGCTGAGCCGGTCCCTCTACCATCTTAGCAAATGCATGTTTCCATGACTCGGCGCATGTAGTCTGATCATAAAATATAAAACGCCAAGACAAATTGATGTATGCCACGTCGAGCGCTCGTGATTACAAATATTATGTTCATGGAGGCCGTGCGCAGACCCTAGTTTGGCGCATATGGAAGCGTTGTGTTCGAGAACACCGTGCAGTTGGCAAATCGAGTCAGCTAGCGAGCAATGAGTGGTGGGTGGAATAATCGTGCCGACCGACGATGGATGAACAAACAAGCAGCGAGACCAGACCAGACCATGCGCAGACCCTTGCATGTGTAATTCAAAGACTTTCAGCTTAAAGAAGTGTTCGATTATGCAGGTTGAGTGTCGTCGCAAGGCCTTCATCCGGGATACCCAGGCTATTGAACGCAGCATCACACGACCACAATCTTCAAGTTACTGGGGTCAGTTCTTGATTATATATACAAGCACGTGTAGCCCTCTACTGCCTGTCAGACCGCATAGTCCGACCTGCTTTCGAATGTCGTTATTGCCACTGGAGTCAGTGCACAGTCCAGGCCAGAAGAGGTTGCGAACCAATCCGGGGTCTCGACCCTCCAAGCGCCCCAAGTCACGTGATCTGGGACCCCGATTGACGAGACACCACGACGCTACCGCAGGGCAAAAAATCTTCACTGCTTCTGACATACCTTCAGAGTTCTAGCCACGTCCCTCCTACTTCCTCTGACTTCATACATTTTGACTATGTCACAGCACTCCAGCACAACATTTTCCTCTCATATTTGCAGCAAAGGGAACTTTGTTGTCTCAGCAGCAGACTGCCAGCTCAAGTCTCGCTCAAGCTCATTTGTCCGGAGGTGCGCAATATAAAATTGATAGAAGGGGGGCTAACTATTTTACAAATTCCACGACTAGTTCAAGTGTATCTCTGTGTTACATTGAAAAGGAGACCATGCGCTATTACAGCATGATGAAGTCAAGCTGCATCCTGAGGTTCTGCATCATCACCGGCTGGAGTGCAACTATCAGAGGCAACCCAATATTGTACAGTAGGTCAGGGAGAGCAGCGAGTACTTTGTTGACCGGCAGGAGGTATACAGTGGCGGATGGAGGCGGTATGACGATGAAGGCACCTCAAGCCAGCTGTGCGGTCGGCGTGATGACGGCAAGCCCTGGCGCGGCAACCGGTGCAGCTGTTGCAGGGGCAAGGGGAGCAACAACCACGGTGGGCGCAGCTGTTGGCATGTTGGCAACATCTGCCGCGTGGACTTGGTCACGGTTCTCCACGTGACGAGACGGGTAGCAGAAGGACAGGCGGACTGGGTTGCACCTGCTGCGCTTAGGCCTGGGTCTCTCAGGGACAAGCTCTTCATCGTCGTGCTTGCTGCGGTGGACAGCAGCGTTCTTCTTGTTCGCAGCGTGCCTCTTCCGGAGCTCTTCTTTGACCTCCTCTTCCTCGACTTCCTTGACTTCCAGTGCTATCTTCTTTCCCCTCTGATTATCCGTCACAGCTGCGTGTGTACAGAGCTGACCACGAGGGAGCGTACGATGGCCAGTCGTTGCAGTTGGAGCTGAGACGTGGTCAGCGCGGCCCGAAGGTGCGCCGTATCGGAGGTGGTTGTTGCGACACAAGGCGGCGCCTTGTCTGGCTGTATTCGTTGTTTGTCTGCTCGACGCAAACTGGCCAATGGTGGATACCTCTGTACGAGCTGATTGTCGAGCATCGTCGTTTCTGGGTGCTTGGCCGCTGTGTTTGGGGACATGCGACGGCTGCCCCAGACTTGAGCGAGCTAGAGCTACGCAGGAGAATAAGTATTTATCCAAATCGAATATCAGATAAGCGGAACTCACCCCAGTTCTGCGGGAAAGTTGGCGGGGGGCTCATGACGCGATATTCGCAGTGCTCGAGTGGCGGCGAGACACGTCGGCGAACGGGCAGAAGTTGGTCTTGTGTGTGTTGCTGTCTGGCGCCGCTGTCATCGTCGCTGCTGGCGCCACTGTCGTCGTCGCTGGACTGACCATCTTCCCCGACACCAGACTCGGTGACATGGCCATCGTGGCCGCTCGCAGCGCCGAACAACTCGGTACGTACCTGATCCCGCTTACTCTCTTTCTGGGCGTGCATATTGCTTATAGCGATAAGCTTCCGCTGTGCCCTGCCCTTGAGTTTGGGAGGCGCGTCGGATGCGAGGGGGCTAGTTACTTTGAGCCAGTGGTAGAGCCGCGCGATTGACCTGTCCAGGACGTGTAAATCCGCGAGTGTGGACGTTGTGTCCAGCGAGGCGAGGGATGTGGCGTGGGCGCTGTTTGGGGACATTGTGGTTTGTTTGTGGGGCAATTGGTTGTACGCTACGCATCGATGTTGTGAGTACGACGGGGATAATGTTTAGGAGTAGTATTCAATTGTTGTGCGAGTGGTGAGGGCGTAGGTGGTAGGACAGACAAGCGATGTGGCCTTATTGGTGGTTCTAAAGAGCGGGGAGTGAAAGTGTCAATGACCTAGTGACTCCTCAGGATGTCGGGAACGTTGAGACGTCTAGCGAGAATCTTCGACTGTAGTGAGTACTGTAGTGGACCATATCGATCTCAATACGGTAACATTACGTGGTACGCGTCATGGGGTACGGCGCGGCGCCTGATGCGCTTCGGCGGATCAATGGCTTGGCGCCTCGAATGAGAAAGCCGTCGGTTACGCAACCGTAGCTATCGATGATCCACGCATCGGGAACTTCAAAACGGGGCGAAAACGAGGCGTACTTGTTGGCTCTGACTTGTTGGCTCTGATATTTCCCAAGCGGTGGATGCCCATCGGGCACGAGGGGCGTAGCGCTTATTAATATGGCAGTAATAGATGGAGTAGATAGCAGCGCGGAAAGCCTATTTCCAATTATTCTCAAGCATATTGGCGGCCTCTCATCGCCTCAAAGCTCAGAGTGTTGATTTCCCGCTTCTATACCGGTTTTACTCACAATGGGTCCAGCATCTTCAGTGCCAACACCTCCAGAAGAAGTCAGCAATCTTCAACGCCGCGCGGCGAAGCACCGCTCAGCTGTGAAATGGTACACATCAGGAAAGACATTTCGAAAAGGTTACAATAATAGCTGTTTATAGAACACCGGAAAAGTCGTTCATAAAGAGTGCACAAGCAGTAGCTCACCTTGAACATAACTTGCCCCTCGCTTTCCTACGTTGACTAGTATGTCTGCACTGTCAGACCAAGCACTTGTCCAAGCCTACTCACGAATGTAAGTGGTACTCCTGCTTGCAAGTTAGCAACCTAATACTCACACCTTCGTCTCCTAGATTTACGGCTAACTATATCAACGCAGCAGCTGCGTGCAAGTACATCCTTTGCTTCCCATTGCATCGCTTACACAGTATCTGCCCCTCAGGCCTCGCTGCCTACGAATTTCTGGTCACCTTCGGCGACGAGATTGAGATTGTTTGGAAGAGACCCGTCACCGCGCGTGCCGTTCTCCTTGGCTCAGTACGATGGTGTATGCTCCTCGCGGCCGCC